AGTCAGTCTTTAGCAGAGCTGGGAACTGAATCCAGCTCTTCTGAATCCCGGGTCAGTGCTTGAGCACAAGTCCCCCAGAACGACACACACGGCAGGAGGCAGGTTTTCTGGATCATTTTTCTGTTTTTTCTTCCTTTCTTGAGGAGGAAAGTCTCATCAACGTTAACTGTGTTCTGGTCAGCCTGGGATGCTACGGAGCCCCGTGCTCCCGGGGACGGTCTCCCAGCAGCTGGACAGTTATTCTCGGGATCATACGCCCCCTCCCTGACACTGCTGAAGGGATTAATCAGGGTCTACTCATCGAGGGTGAAAAATGCTTCTCACATGTTTGCTTAGCAGGGCTCTTGCGGGTTCAGGCCCCAATCCAAAACACATGGTTACAGCATTGTGGTGTCTGTGCCACAGTGTATCAAAAATAAAACGTATGCGGAAGATGCACCGTCTGGATGTTTTGGCGTTTTAGCCACATCTGAATTTTGTGTGTGTTGACAATTGAAGCTGTGAGCACCCTAGCTACCCAGGACATGCACTGCCCGGTCGCACTGCCTTTGTCCCACCCTGGCAGTATCCCCCATCCCAAGGCCCCGTTACGCTGCCAGAGCGGTGAAAAAGGGCCTCCACACAAATTTGACTCTGGCCCGCAAAAGCTACCAATAAAACCAGATGCACTCAGTGGCTAGTAGTGCTGTTAAATTTAGATTAATTGGCTAATCAAATAGACGATGCAATCTGCATCAGCTATTCTATTAGTCAATAAGGGCACCTCCGCCTTTGAAGTGTAACAACAGCCCCAGGACTGTTGCTACACTTCAAAGGCAAAAGCACTGCAGGGAGCACAGGGCCAGCAGGATACTCAAGCAGTCCCCTGCTGGCCCCGGGCTCCCCGTGGCATTTCAAAGCAATGGAGCCCAGGGTCAGTGGGGGAGTCCCAGGATACCATGCGGCACTGCCCCATTGAAATGTCACAGGGAGCCCGGTGTCAGATGCCACGCAGCACTGCCACTTTGAAACGCCGTGCGCAGCCCAGGCCAGCCAGCTGGGGACCCCCGATCTGCACACAGAGTTTCAAAGCGGCAGTGCTGCATGGAGCCCAGGGTCTGGCCCCGGGCTCCATGTGGCACTGCCGCTGAAGCACTTCCTCTTCTCCCCCTCCTTGCTGCCTCTTTCTGAAAAAAGCAGCGAGGGGAGGGAGGGGGGGAAGCAACTAGTCGACTAGTGTGTTGACTATCTGATTAGCATTTGCTTATCAGGTAGTCAACTAGTCGCTCAAATCCCTAGTGGTTAGCACAAGCACAAGGAAGTTCTCTGGACCCTGATGAGCAGTTGGGGAGGGCCACCTAATTACTGCCCTGCTTTCCTCCTCTTGGTTCGTTCGTAATTTATTTGGTTTCCTTCACATGGCCCCTTTCTAACACCTGCATGTCTCATGTTTCCTGTCCCACGTCTGGGACCAAGCAACAGGGTTTAACGGCTCAGTGCTGTGCTTCGTTGGAGTTGGTCTGTTTTCTTTCCCCTGGCAGAACGCTCCACTGGCTGGAGTGATTTGAATTCCGTTGGTTTTCCCTTTGCATCTGTCAAGCGATTTATTTCCACCCCACGAAGAAAGCAGCCTGGCCAGGACCCTCTTTGTCCTGCCATCAGTTAATCTCGCCAGGTAACATCTTGCCCTTATTCAGATCAGAGTGACACAATCTGTGTGTCTGCAGCACGTGGAACGCTCTCATTAAATGAGTGAAAAACACCTGAAGGAAATTTTCGAAGCTTTTTCAGTGGAAGAATTGTCTCCCCTCTTCTTTCAACTCAACCGTGGCCTCTCACTGAATAATTTTTGCCTTGATACCAGGGGAGCCTCAATGGGCAACAATTTTAAAAACAAAATGACTGAGAATAAGCTCCAGGGCTGCCCCCAAATGGCTTTCAGGCCAGCCACGTGAGAAAACTAGCCTTGGCGGCACAGCCTAAACAACGGTAGGAAAAACAAACACCAGCCCCTACGACGGGAAAGCATTAAGGCAAAGATGAAAGTTCTCTGTCTCCCAAGTCCATTTTTCAGGTGGATAAGTAACTCCCAAAGGGCAATCAGACTGAGCCAAGAACAGCTGGAGTGTATACAAGGCTGTAAAATGGACAATCGGTAGCGGCTCTGGCCAGCAGTTCGAGGAGCATACGAGATTACCTCCCACAGAGGCCTAACCCCCAGGGCAGGTCTGGTGCTAGTGTGTCCATGCTGCATATGGGAGATGGTGACACTGCTTAATTCTGCACTCATGTGACCCAAGGGTTCCCCCTTTAGCTGTCTGGCATAATCTTCAATGGGGGAGGTTTCGCTTAGTGTGAAAATGTCAAGGTGTCAGAGAATGGCCAGCCGCTCTCCCTGCAATGAGCACAGAGGGGAGGAGTGACCTGTCTGCCCCTGCATACTGCCTGTTATATTATGTGGCTTACACCCCGTGTAACTGGAAGCAGCTTCTCAGGTCCGGTAGGGTGGGCGAGAAGAGTGACGCAACCCCTCTTCCATGTGCAGGCTGGCAGAGAGCTACTGCGAATCTGAGCGAATCTGAGCACCTTGTCTCCGGAGGCCTAGACAGCGCAGTTCCTAAAGTCAGCTCCCAAGCTGGCTCCCCCACACCACATGCAGACAGTCCCGTGAAGATGAAGGTATATTTATTCAACCGCGTAGTCTCCCTGCTTGGGTTAAGCACTTTGAGGACACTGGGGCACGTTTCTCAGAGACCTACACTTGAATGCCACGACTAATTTACAGTTGGAGCTGTAAAATCACATCCAAATACTATGCACAAGCAGACTAGTCCCCAAGGTAAGAATAAAGCGGAGCAAGACAGATTAGGAGCCTGAAAACAAACCACAGCACTTGAAAGGCTCCCATCCAACAGGGGTACCTTGGCCAGGCTTGTGTTTTCCCAATCCCTTGCACTGATGGTGCATCAAGCACAATGCCCTACTAAGTGAGAGAGAGAGAGAGGTGCAACCATTGTACGTCTGTTTGATAGGAGATGAGCAGCTACGGAACGTTGTTCAAAGCAGACGGCTGTTCTAAAGACTCTAGCAAAAGCCAATTGCTTAGATGTAAATAACCGTCTCAAGTTCAGATCAGCCCCTTTCGCCGAATCAACACGATTTACTCGGGCTGCTGTAAGACGAGCATATGCTGCCTGAACAGCGCAATCCTCTTTCACATCATTCTGCTCACTGAATGCCTGATCAAAGGCCCTCCCAGTCATTAGGGACATTCACACGCTAATTATCCTCAAGATTCTACTGTAAGTAGCGAACACTGAACCAGCCTGGGGCAGAAGAAAAGATTACTTTTACGAACACTATCACACACCAGGGCTTTTCTCCCTCTTGTTCCTCAGCTCCAATCTCCTTCAAAACTTCCAAAACTAGACTGTATGTTGAGCAAATGCCCACCCATGCCGATGTGGAAGCCTCTTCTTCTATGCTACATTTTTTATCTAATCAGGAAGCAATTTAGGCACCATAAGAATGGAAGAGAGGGGTTCACTGATGTTGCTCTTCAGTGGCATTTTGAATTTCTACTACCCCATTCCATTTGGGGAATGTTTGTGTTGGCCCAAAAGGAAAAACTATGGCATACACTAAAAGACATATCAGGTTCCTGGTGTGGAATTTTCTTGGGCTTGTTAAGTTTTGCAACGTTAGATGCTTTCTTTCTCTTGTGGTCCCGTAACTGAAAACCAGCCTTTGTGCAATACTATTAGAATTAAGAAGTGGTTGCCAGTGCAAAAAGAAACAGATATTCACACACAACGCAAAAGCACACCAATCGGATTTTCAGTGTTGTGTAGCACACAAAAGGTGCAATAACTACTAGACAGGCCTATAACTGGATTGAGAGTCTTAACGGCACGCGGCTATGAGTAGGTATTAGAAGGTTATACGGGTGCTAAGATAGACCAAGGCTGTTGTCCTGGTTCTGTTTAGAAGCAAGTCTTTCAAAAGACTTCAAATGTAACTTGGCAAAACAAATCATCATCAGGAGTTCCAAAGGGACTGGATTCTCACAAGCAGAGCCCAATCCTGGACCCAATGAGGACAGCAGGACTCTCTCTCAACTTCCCAGGGCCCTAGAACAGGGCCACAGCTGTATTCAGAGGTTTTTCAACAGGTGGTTTTGGAGTATTCGAAGGTCTACCAAAGAACAAGTGTTGATCCACTTAGTCCTGCCAGCTTACATCTGAACTATTCCCAACTGGGAGAGCTGGGGCGCTTGATCCACAATTCACTTGGTATGTGCTTAGCAATAAAGTTAAAAGGGAGACAACTAAACCAAGGTATTAAGACTGGGCTGTGAACAGCTGAGTAAATGGGTTTTCCCTTTATCACCATGTTAGTTATATAAAACTCAAGTGTAACCACACAGGAGGTTTATGCACAATACATTTTCACAGACAGCATTTTGTACAGTAATTATTATGGGCAGAATTATAATATGATTTATCAGTAACGGCTCCTTAATAAGAGTGCAGTTCTCAGACCCTCTGCCTGGCTGCAGAAGCTAATGGCTGTCAAGACATCCCACTACATCCTTGTCTGCTGAACAGGAACTGAAGTTCTGATTCTAAAGGCTACACAGGAACTGCCAGTCTTTATGATTTACTTTGGAGAGATTAGCTTGCAGCATTTTTAAGTATGAAATGTGTCATGTGCCGCATTCTCTGCCCATACCTTTGGGTGGTCAGGCCATGCAGAACTCTGCAGACAGTAATTGTAGCTACCATAGCCTTCTAGCAGCTTTGTCCTAGTCATAGGCCTGCAGTTCTTGATTGGTTTCAGATGAACACAAGGAAGTTAAAAAAAACTGCCCTTATCCCTTCCAAGTGAATCTGGCTTTAGGAAACACGGCTCTGAATAAGACTCAGAAGCTGGATTTTCAACAGGGTCTAAGGCCATGTCTCCACTTACCGAAGGATCGACGCTCTGGCAATCGATTTTCCGGGGTTCGATTTAACGGGTCTAGTGAAGACCCACTAAATTGAACAATGAGGGCACCCAGAGGCATAAGAGAAGTCGATGGGAGCGTTTCCATACCTTAGGGCAGGCATGTCCAAAGTCCGGCCCGCGGGCCAATTGCGGCCCGTGTTCCAGTTTAATACGGCCCCACAGGTAATTTGGCAATATCTATCTTTTATGGCCCCCAACGAATCCATATGTATTGAGATGAATACATTGTAAAATCTCAGTTAATGTCAGTTGGTCTAAATCAGTTATAAATATATTTGGACACAACATGTATACTTGGTGTTACGTTCCTGTTCATATTTTTTGAACTTAAAAGTTGACAGACAACCTTTATTACCAATAATATGTAATGTACTTTACAATGTTCCTGACATATATTTCAGCTTCCTGGATTTTTTTTTCATCTGGCCTTCAGATATGAAAGGCAGAGTGATTTAACACCTGTTTAGATTTGTCATCCATGTGACGAAATGAAAAGTGTGCCGTTTGCAATAAACTTTGCATAAAATAGTTAATTTGCATTTAATTTTAATGGTTCAAAGAATGTCAGGCAAAATGGTCGGCCCTCATGCATGTTCACTTCATCAAATCTGGCCCTCTTTGAAAAAAGTTTGGACACCCCTGCCTTAGGGCAACCTTCAGGGCGTAGTGTAGACCTGGCCTAAGAGAAGAGGGCTCTTAACAGCAATGAAAATAAATTGGAGGTGGGCCCCAACTCAAAAAAAAAAAAAAAAAAGAAAGCCAGCACATCCCAATCACTATTAATCTGTCTAGCACGGAAAGGCCCGGAAGAGGATCACCGCAATGGCTCCACACAGCTGACATGTATTTCCAGTCTCTGTTGGTCCTGTCCTTACACAAATAAGCAGCTTGAGGACAGGATCACGCTGTGTGTGTTTACTTCTACCTAACCTTTGCAACCTTCTGAGTGTTTAAAAAAACGTGTTATTACAAGGTGAAGAATGGTCATGAGAGTTAGGAGCCAGCACAGCTGCACACCACGGAAAAGAGAGCCCCATAATGAAGCTACAAATGCCAATTGTCAACTGCGCTGGGACTCCATATACAGACACTCAAAACGGGTCTTTTACAGAGGCTCACACCAGAAGCCTCTGCACATAGAAAGTGATGTTCCAGTGCTCATTAAAACAGTTCGCAGGCTGGTCCAGGTGTGGGAGAAGGAGCCAGTGCA